AGATTGAAATAAATCCAGACAGGAAATATCATTTTCTAAACTTGGTCAATCACGTTTTCGCGATAGCGTTAGTGTACATGTTATAGAAATTTGTTTCTGACGCCAATGCTGTATTTGTTGCCTTGTTATATTTATGTGAATTTAGCTCACCTGGCCCAAAGCGCCAAGAGATCTTATATGCGCTGGTTCGATGATATTTGACAAATAGCTTCTTGTAATGAAATGCTATCAATATTGAATTACCTTGACCCATTGTTAAGGTCACAGTACAAAATGTGTGTTATTTTTTTATTCCGTTTAACGAATTCTTCCGAATTATTTGGTTTCGTAGCATGCTGCGATCAAGACATCCTCGATATCCAGGGGTTACGCTCACTTTCGCTCTCTGTAAATGAATGTCCTTGACACAGTTTCGAGGTCACAGGGGTCAAATGTCAATAATGTGTAGAGGAATCTTTTTAAGCAAATTTAACCTTGACACTCTGAAGATTACGATTGTGAAATAAACGACAGGTGAGCGATGTCCGCCCAAATGGGCCTCTTATTAAATAATAAACCAGGTATTTATTTCTGGCGATACAAGATGTGGGTGACGTTTAAAGGACTATTTTGGTCAGTTTTGGCCAAATCTTGGCATTGTATTGACCAACATGGCTATATTCAGAACATCCAGTTCGTCTCAAGATCAGTCGGGGTATGGAGCACTGTGGTTGACAAGGACCATCAATGAATGGCCGTAGACGAAAATGACGAAAGAAAAGGCCTTGTTTTCCCCCGGATACCTCGGTTCCCTTGTTGTGCTCTTCCATCCGGGCCAATAAGAGTAGTTGATGCACCATCAGCTGTGTTTGTTGAAACTGGAAGTACAGCCAAGAGATTATAAAAAATCCCTTTTGGTAATCTGTTAGCAGATGAGCTCGAAACACGAGCCAGGAAGCATTATTACACACAGTTAGGAGCTGGTATGTAATTACATAATACATGGTAATATAGAGTGTACATGTACACCTCTCATTAGCGGACAGACTCAGCACGGAGGCCAGCTGCATGACATAAAATACACGAATGTTTTATAAAGCACCTCCTGTTGCTGAATAATAGATTTAAAACATACGGTAAATGTCTCTTGAGTTTTGATGTAAATTAATGTATATATACATCGATGTCTTTCTGCTTTTCTGGAGATTCCAATGTCTTGGCTGTGGTCTGACGTTTACTGTAAATGTGACATTTATCCATCGTGTACCGCGCACATACGATAGTACATATAAACTTAAGAGAGTGCAGTTTAATTTTGGTCATTGCTATGAAAGAGCACAGGGACCTGATAATTGTTAACAGATATGTTTGGAACAATATCCTGATATGTAAAGATTAGTATTTGACGCGTTAAAATCTCTACCCAGAGTTGTCGTTCCTTACAGGATACGATCAATACTTCGTAAAACGGCCACCGATGATACATATACCAGTATATACGTATACGGGCACCATCATTAGGTGCTGGCTTTTTACAGGGAGTTGATCACAACCCCTAAAACGTCTAATACTGTTTTGACAGATAGTAACAAATTATCAGGTCCCTGCTGTGTGAAAGAGGAGGTTCGTCTTTGTATCAGAGAATTGAGTGTTTTTCGGTACCAAAACTTGCTTCAGACATTTTACAGGTATAAACCACAGGGACGTGATAATTTGTTACAGCTATATTTGGACCTAAACTAAGGTGTTCAGAGTAATTTAACACGTTTTAGGGGTTTAGATCAACTTTCGAAAAAAAATCACCCCCATACTCCTTCCTATACATAAGCATTGGGGTGGCTGTTTTATCGAAAGTCGCTCTAAGTCCCAAAAACGTGTAAAATTACTCTTTAACACCTTAAGTTTGGGTCCAAATATTATATATAGATGTAACAAATTCTCAGGTCCCTGTGGTATAAACGTGAGATTAAACGGCTGATTTGTGACCGTGAAGATGTTCCAGAGAAAAGCGACGGAAGTGTTGATGCTATCAGACGATTACAGCTGTCTCGTAGTACAGAGGAAAGTCTTTTCACCCTTCAGTAACCAGAGTACGCAATCTGGAAGGTCGTCACACGTCTGGGGTACAGAAGGTGTCGACAGTATCAGCTTACCACGTATAGTACATGTACTCTAAATATCGCCAGGGGTGAAACTAAGGAATTAGAATAATAGTGATGAAAAATATGGCGGGTAAGCATAACCCACCATCTTTTTCATCATTATTATTCTAAATTCCTAAGTTTTATATCTATTTCCTTATAGCTCTCACAAAATTCGTAATATTCGCGCGCGCAGTAATTAATGAAGCGCACCGTGACTTACCTGTAGCACTATCCAAATCGGCATCACGTCCCAACAAGTAGATTGTCGAAGCTGGACATATATTTTTATATTCTCAATGAACAACCGCTGTAAGGACAACATATTAAAGTATCACATGTATGTATTTTATGTACATCATACCTTTGTTACCAGTATGTCAATTATATGCAAAGAGAATAAAGTTCCAGCGCTCTGTGCTGTATCTGTAACGGAGAGCTTGCTTAGTATCATATACCACAGCAAAGTGATAAATACGGGAAATATACGTTTTATAATTTCAGTTCTTGTCTCTGCACCACAAGGAACCGATTCCTGGACCTCTTGGTCTAAAGCAAGGAACTTACTCCCTAACTACTGAACATGGTATTTGTTACATTCGGCCCTGGCGCCCGAAGGTCAAGACCTTCAGGCGCCTAAAGTAGAGTTTACGCTCTTGAAAGCCTAGTGAAAAGTTAACTGTTTGGCTGATGACTCCGCCCATGCAGAATAGGACGAACATTATCAAGGTCTGCAAGAACTGGCCAGCATTTGGACTGTTGAAATTAAGGTGATGTCACAGCCTTCACTAGGCCTGGTTCCTTCAGCACTAGCCAAACTAACTGGTATAGCAGTAGAATACAACAGAGAACTACACTGTAAATCCTACAACCTACCAAAAGTGTTGTCATGACTACACCGGTTCAGCAAACAAAGAGATTCACACAACACTCCTCTACAACATTAGCTACTTCTGAGCACAGGGATGTGAGAATTTGTTACATTAAATTTGGAGCTAAACTAAGGTGTTCAGAGTAAATTTACATGTTTCAGGGGTTTAGATCAACTTTCGAAAAAAGTGACACCCCAATGATGATATACAGGTATATATAAGCATTGGGGTGGCATTTTTACCAAAAGTTGATCTCAACCACTAAAATGTGTAAAATTACCCTGAACACCTTAGTTTAGGTTCAAATATAGCTGTAAGTGTAACAAATTCTCAAGTCCCTGTGGTACATGTAGGAGATGCCAGTCACTCAACCGACTCCCTTCGAATATGGGCATACATAAATACTCAACAAAGCAAAACGCTACTGCCATTGCTGAGAACCGATATAAGCAGGTAAGCAGCCGACATATACTCTCATGGGTCCAGGTCTACATGGCAATAGGAGCTGGATTCTGGCACCTCGTCCCCCTTCGTTAGAGTTTCTGTATTCCTAGCATTGCTCTATTGCCTGGAAGTTCTTCAGCCCACACCCAACAAAATCCAACTTTTGGAAAGATTTCAGAAAGCTGCTGAAGTAACTCTTCCATCAAACACTGCCAATGCATGAATTCATACACTTCTATAGAACTTCTACCCGTGGAGGTGAGTTTCATAAGATGATAATTTCCCTAGAACATGACCTTGCAAAGCAGCGAATTTACACATTTAAATACAGACAGTACACAGCCAGCTGGTTTGGTGAGGTTATGAAGCTTCTTGCCATCTGTGATCTTCCCTCCTTTCTGAACGATCAAGTTACTATAGGCAAGTGGGGAATATGTCAAGTGTTTATTTTAATTAATATTGGACAACCTCAGTTAGGAAATGGGTGGAGACATCAATTTCTCTCCATTACGCTGCACCTCGCCAACACCAACTGTCAATGATGTGTCACAACTACCTATGAAGTTGCGACTGCACATGTTAACTGGCTCCAGAAAAGCCAGTTGCTTAGCAGTCGATGGTACTCCAGGGTTTAAAACCATTTACAATTTGTGTGGAAATTACATCTACATCAACATACTATTATATAGTAGCTGTTATGGCTTGTTATAAGGACATGAAATCATTTTTTTTTTAATTCTTTTTACTGAAAATCAATTGAAATCGCGAAAAACTTGTGGCATGTGCTCTTTCTTGGACCACATGGGAAAAAAAATACACCGCTCAAGTTATTTCATGAATACATATTCTGGTTATTACCCTTGTTTACCATGGCCAGCTAACCAGACTTGAGGTGGTTGCTTAAGTCTGATGTCAACCTAATGCTGGTGTCGTTTTGATAACTTTAGACTTCTCATATTAACTTGAGGTTTTGTCCTTTTGTGTTGATACTGTAGTACATTTTGTACTATTTTACCTGATCTACTTTGTTGTTAGATAGCGGTCAGAATTTTTATCATTTCAGTTGGATGTCAATGAAACGGCGCTTTCCTGTGGAAGGTTTACTGGTAATCAGAAACAGGAAGATTCTGTTTGAATTCACACACACATGAACACAGGTGTTAAACAAAATTGTGAAAAGTAACTTTGCAAAACAAGGTGATTTATAGTCCTTCCTGACAAGTCCTCAAAACTACTAACAGACGTCTTAGAATGTCTTGTTCGTTATTGACTATAGCAAAGAAGCACTAAATTTGTCATCCTTTCTTTTAGACAACACAGACTTGGTTTTATGTAGACAATTTGAACACAATTAAAACCAGGCTATCTTCAATAGGTTTGTTTAGATATCAGGCATGTTAGCTTTACGCAGCACCTCCCTGTTTGAGACAGTCCTCCGATGTCATTCCTGATCTTTTAGATCAAGTTTGAGAAAGTATCCCGAAGTGACATTTGAAATAGTGAGTCCAAAGCAATTTCATTTACACAAGTATTACAAAATTAAAAGAAGAAACTAACAACAAAATAGTATAAAAAATCTAACAGAATATTTACTTCATTATTGTCTCACATTAAACAACATTATCATATACAACAAATTATCAAGGTTTTAAATAATTATTGCTTCCTATTGCGGTTCTTAACTGCATAGTCATCTTTAAGGTCTTCGTATATTTCCCTGAAATAAACAAAAGGATACACGAATAAAAAAAAAATCAGAGCTTTTAAAGTGTTAATAAATATTTTACAGAGAAATTACTAAGCAAAGAATAACAGTGTAGGATAAGACAACTTTTTCCTAAAAAGCAATTCTCTGCAATTGGCTGTATATCCCCATTCAGCCCCAAAAAATTCTAAAATAAGCATTATGTCTATAAAAGGATACTTTATGTTTCCATGTTTTGAAAATGGTTTTGATAAAAAAAAGTTTTGAGTGAAGTTCCCATTTGGCTATTGGCTACTCCAGTTAAACATCTATCCCACACCGAGACCCCATGCATTATGAAGTACTACCCCTAGAATTTTAAAATATTTAATTAGCGATTTACATTGAAGTAATAGCCAGGAAAACCAGCCAGTGGCCCCTGATGAAAGGATTTTTTACATGACGGGAGTGCACTGATCAATACTTAGAGTGAAAGGACTTCCAAATTATTGGAGTTCTGTTTGACCATGGCATATTTCTCTTTATAAGAGGATCAGCTATAGCAACAAAGTCTTTGGGTAAGGTGAAATTTTTACTGGAGCAGCTCTCACAACATAAGTAATGATAAAGTACAATTCCTTCGATGTTCTTACTTGCTGAGGTAGAAAAAAATATAGCCGCTTCTTTCCCGCTTCGAGCGCACCTCCGCCTCTGTGGACTTGGTGACGTTAGAATCGTCACAACTGAACCACGCCCCTTTCTTCAGATCATACACATCGGTCACATAGTGCCCTGAAATACACGAAAATCAAAACTAGGGGAGGTAACTTTGAGGTTACTTTGACAAAAATTTTTTTTACACAAAATTATAATCACGTACACTGACTAGATAGTTACATTCAAGCAAGGGTATGTTCAGAGAAGAAAACCTTTCGGAATATTTCACACTTGTAATTCATATTTAATATTATATAAAACTTGAGACTTTTTGTACAGATAATGAACTTCATAATGAACTCACCTGCGACTGAAGTGCTACCCTGGTGATTAACAATGCTGACCAGCTTGTACGAGTAAGGAAGGTCCCCCTTCTAGTAAAGACAAAAACATTATTGTCATTATTCCAGAATATCTGACAAAACCTGGTAAATTTATTGACTATTGATACCACATGCCTTGTAGACTTGCTTCTTGATAACAAGTCTTTTGATCGATGATTATTTGATAGAAATTGACAAGCTGTAAAATTATCCTCACATTAGTGTTCCTGAAAACTCTGCTCGCTCCGATATCTTTGTTGATATTGCACACATATCTTTTCATATACTAGAGTTAAATTTACAATTAACTTTATAAATGCTTTTTAAATATTTATTTGTGTCTTCCTGGGACAACTCAACACAGTAATAATTAAATAAGTTATGATTATGACTCATCAAATTCTGTTGAATACAAGAAATACAGTAAATGTCAGGATATTTCGAACAAAACAAAATAATTACAACTGTCCTCAAAAACATTAATTTTCCAGGGTTTTTTTATCCAAAGAAACCGTTTATACATTTGAAATTTTAAGCGTCAAATTTTAATACCACATTATTCTATTTGAAATTTTGAAGAGGAACACAAGTGTTTTCGAAATTTATTGTGATAGAAATTTCTAGACATTCACCAGGTATTCACTAGGTCATGAGCAAGTTATCCTGAGCTAATCAGCGTGGATACAATTAAAATTAAACTTTAATTATTTTACAACAATTATGAAACAAGTTATTTCAACTTGTATTTATCACTCTTGTTGGCCTGGATGTAAGCGTGTGGGGGGTCTTAATGTGGGAGGAAACCAGAGTACCACCTTGGTGAAAGGCAAGTGCCCTATCCATTTGCATATGTCTAACCCTTTCACCACTGTAGACAATAATGGACTCATCCAGATCAATACATGGTAGAGTCTACTAAAGTTACATAGGAGTGAAAGGGTTAAATGCCATACAGCTTTCCCTTCAGTGTGATTTTTGCATTTATATATAAATACAAACATGTACAGCATTGATTAGCAGGTTTAACCCTTCCACCACTATAGACCATAATGGACCTATCCAAATCAATGCATAGTAGAGTTTAATCAAGTTACATAGGGGTGAAATGTTTAAGATTGAGAGGTCTAGTGTTGCTTGACTAGAATCTTTCACTGTTGCTTTTGAAATCTTAAGAGTTTACCATCTGACAACCACTGAAAATATAAACGCGGTGAAAATAACCCGATAATTATACCGTATAACCAGTATCACCACCTCAAAATTTGCTGGAACTCTAGCTTCTGTACAATTGTACTCGCCTCATTTTCCACCACAGGAAGGTCGGGATAAGGTTGGGTGTCCTCCTCCGATTGTGTCTGGACAGGTCGATGCTCAGGTAGGGCATTTTCCTTATCTTCTAGTAACATTAACTGGAAATCTGACAATGAAACAGACAAACTAATACAATATATTTAAGACATCATAACACTGGCGAACTTTTACAAACAGAAATATTTTCAATAAACAAACTTATGATTTAAAGAAAGGTTTATAAATATTTATCTTTTTAATATTCAATTCATGTGCCAATGATAGGTTATATTACAGAGTTATTGCGATACACCCTAGACATTTTGCACAGACAGTCCAACCAAACCTATCATTCCAATTGGTAGTACCGGTTGTACATATATAATAAATGTACAGGGCTAGACAATCAGGGTAGCCAGATAGTCCGAGACTAGTGAATTCTTCAGCTGGACTAGTGGTTCTAAAAACTGCTAGTCCGATTCACTAGTCAAAATTTGATATTGCTTATCTTGTTGAATATTGACTTACCGGTAGTGGAATTCGCACATGGACTAGGAACAATAGGAAAATACTAACCCCATTGACTAGTGGTATTCAAATAATTTCTAACCCTGATCAGGGATCAATCTAGACTTGATTCACTACCGTCTATGGGTAGTTTCCCCTTCCCCCTACAGAAGAAAATTCTATATTCTACAAGACTCACCATCCTCATCCTCACAAAGCAGACTTGCAAACTCCTGGTCACCGTTCGAGACCTGAGCGTCCCCTTCTGGCTTGTCACTGCCCTGATCCAGCCGACTGATAGCTGAATGACCCGTGTCATCATCTTGAACACCACACAAACGACTGTTGTCAGGTTTGCTTCCGTCCGTCTTTACCTCGGTGCACTGATATTCCAAATCTATTGCAGTGTTTATATCAGCCACATTTTCACTCATTTTGTCAATAGTTGATTTTGTCTGTTTTTCGTCTAAATCCTCAGTCGAATTTTCCAATTCAGATCTGATTCGTTTTTCACCCAAAGCGTTCCAAGGACTGTCTGGTTTGGACAGATCTTCTTTCCCAAAGAGACAGGTTTTTGTTGACTTCGTTGTAATTCTCTCATTCACAGGGAGAAATTTACTCGAGGAGTCTGAGACACAGGGATCAGGGGAGGTAAGGTCTATGCACTTATCACCAGAGACACTGAATTCTTGTGAATCGTCTCTCTGTTTTTCAGGTAGGGATAAATCACTGTCAGGTCCAACAGATTCTGTGTCTCTTTCCTCAGCTATTACATCTAACATGGCTTCCGACACCCTTCCTTTGACAGGAAAATCACTGCTGGTGTTTTCTTGACCATTGCCTAGCTTTCTAACACATAGGGGTGATTTTTGTAGAGGTTTTCCTGAGGATAAAGAAGTGCGGGTAGTTTTTTCTTTCTTAACACAGCTTTGTGCAGTTTGTGATGATGCATCCTCGGTTGGTTTTTTGACTGAGGTTGTTCTGCACACAATGTTATCTGTGGTGGTTTGGCAGATCGGTTTGTCAACCTGTGTGTCGTCTATTGCTTCGTCCGTGTGTTCAGTGTTGATCGGTTCGATCTCCTGTGTGAAATCTGTGCGAGAGACGTGACTGGTTTCCATTAAACTCTGTTCTATGGCTAGTCTCATCTGTTCCTCCTCCGACATATTCTGAATGGTCTTGCCATAATCTAAATTAATTATAAAATGATATTTAAGGGAACTTCAAACTCTGAGAGAGTAGGAAACTATTAGTCACACACAGAAAAAATAGAAGTACTGATTTTTTTTTTATTTACAGTAAAAAGTGAGGTTCTAACTATTATATAGGTTTTCAGATGGGAAGTCTGCCGACTTTGAAATGGTAACCTTTGATTTGATCTTGAAGTTATGACCAAAACCAAAAGTTTTGAAAGTATACATTTTATTCTTTCTTTAAATTGTACAAGTATGTCTTCAAGGTAATGAGTTTGATATGCCTCTTGGTAATTGTGTGTGTCAAAAATTTGGAAATCACAATCACTCTCTCTCTCTCTCTGAATAAAGAGATCTACCTTACAAGTTCTGCATAAAAATTCAACGTTAAGAAGTACTTTCTCTTTTCGAATCTTACCTAAAAATCTGTCTGATGCAATTGTGAATCGAATAACATTGAAATATTTCAAAATTTAAACTTTCGTATATAGTGTGAAAGTTTCAATGTACCATTTGGTCCACAAATAAACCTGCACATTAGCATAACTATGCTGGACAATTGAAATATATTATTTTGATGAACTTATATAGGACCTGTTTTAAAAGCGTGTGAAGACTTCATCTACACAGTATCAACTAAACACTGACCGTGGTCAAACTGAGTTGATTTGTCTATCTCCACTCTGCTCATCTCCAGCACCTTCTGTAGTTCACTCTCCTTAGTCTCGTCCACATAATTCTGTAATTAGAACAGGACAGGTTCAAACCATCCATTAGTAACTTCTAATATATAACAACAAAATTTGTTTAAACCATACCAGGTCATTCTTATGAAGAGAATATTTTTGAGATTAATAAGCGGTAGAGCATAAATATTTTGATTATGCAAAATGAAATACAGTTCCCCAATTTTCATCGTTCACAAACTTACATTCTGGTTACTGTAACACATCATTGTCTATGCTATTTAAACAATACTTGAGCATTTCCATCATCACCAGGCTAGATCATTCCCAGAAAAGGGAACGTTTTTGTTTAATCAATTTGGTTTGCAATAAGTCAGAAGGATCATAAACATGTATCCACTGTCTTAACTGGTAAGTTTCACTCCATCTATTACTGTTATCGTTCTATTATGATTGTAGATCACCTAATAATTGCAATAGGCTCACTGAAGAATCTGTTGATTGCTGAAGAACCCTCTCCATCTGGATTTAACAGATATCGAAGGTGAAATATATATTCTGTCATATGATGCCTTTCAACATTTTTTGTCATGTAAAATTTTCAAATGATTTCTCTTTACAGGAAAAAATATGCCATAAACAAAGGGAAGCTACTCTAACTGGTTCTACAGCGAGTCAGAATTTATTTTTCCTATATTAACCCTTTCACCACTGTAGACTATAATGGACTCATCCAGATCAATGCATGGTGGAGTCTACTATAGTTACCTAGGGGTGAAAGAGTCTACTATAGCTACATAGGGGTGAAATGGTAAAGTTTGTAGTTAGCCGACTCGTGTACAACCAACCTGTGTGCGGTCATTAGCTTCCTGAAGACTCAGTTCCAGGGCCCGGGCGAGATCTTTGTCCTCTTCCTCATCTGGTCTATCTTCTATCAACAGTGGCATATCTGCCTTAATGTTGTGATCCTCCTGTCAACAAATATGTCTGTGTTGTACTCCCCTAGATCATTGTCATCATACTAACTATATAAAAATATATGTCTGTGTTGTACTCCCCTAGATCATTGTCATCATACTAACTATATAAAAATATATGTCTGTGTTGTACTCCCCTAGATCATTGTCATCATACTAACTATATAAAAATATATGTCTGTGTTGTACTCCCCTAGATCATTGTCATCATACTAACTATATAAAAATATATGTCTGTGTTGTACTCCCCTAGATCATTGTCATCATACTAACTATATAAAAATATATGTCTGTGTTGTACTCCCCTAGATCATTGTCATCATACTAACTATATAAAAATATATGTCTGTGTTGTACTCCCCTAGATCATTGTCATCATACTAACTATATAAAAATATATGTCTGTGTTGTACTCCCCTAGATCATTGTCATCATACTAACTATATAAAAATATATGTCTGTGTTGTACTCCCCTAGATCATTGTCATCATACTAACTATATAAAAATATATGTCTGTGTTGTACTCCCCTAGATCATTGTCATCATACTAACTATATAAAAATATATGTCTGTGTTGTACTCCCCTAGATCATTGTCATCATACTAACTATATAAAAATATATGTCTGTGTTGTACTCCCCTAGATCATTGTCATCATACTAACTATATAAAAATATATGTCTGTGTTGTACTCCCCTAGATCATTGTCATCATACTAACTATATAAAAATATATGTCTGTGTTGTACTCCCCTAGATCATTGTCATCATACTAACTATATAAAAATATATGTCTGTGTTGTACTCCCCTAGATCATTGTCATCATACTAACTATATAAAAATATATGTCTGTGTTGTACTCCCCTAGATCATTGTCATCATACTAACTATATAAAAATATATGTCTGTGTTGTACTCCCCTAGATCATTGTCATCATACTAACTATATAAAAATATATGTCTGTGTTGTACTCCCCTAGATCATTGTCATCATACTAACTATATAAAAATATATGTCTGTGTTGTACTCCCCTAGATCATTGTCATCATACTAACTATATAAAAATATATGTCTGTGTTGTACTCCCCTAGATCATTGTCATCATACTAACTATATAAAAATATATGTCTGTGTTGTACTCCCCTAGATCATTGTCATCATACTAACTATATAAAAATATATGTCTGTGTTGTACTCCCCTAGATCATTGTCATCATACTAACTATATAAAAATATATGTCTGTGTTGTACTCCCCTAGATCATTGTCATCATACTAACTATATAAAAATATATGTCTGTGTTGTACTCCCCTAGATCATTGTCATCATACTAACTATATAAAAATATATGTCTGTGTTGTACTCCCCTAGATCATTGTCATCATACTAACTATATAAAAATATATGTCTGTGTTGTACTCCCCTAGATCATTGTCATCATACTAACTATATAAAAATATATGTCTGTGTTGTACTCCCCTAGATCATTGTCATCATACTAACTATATAAAAATATATGTCTGTGTTGTACTCCCCTAGATCATTGTCATCATACTAACTATATAAAAATATATGTCTGTGTTGTACTCCCCTAGATCATTGTCATCATACTAACTATATAAAAATATATGTCTGTGTTGTACTCCCCTAGATCATTGTCATCATACTAACTATATAAAAATATATGTCTGTGTTGTACTCCCCTAGATCATTGTCATCATACTAACTATATAAAAATATATGTCTGTGTTGTACTCCCCTAGATCATTGTCATCATACTAACTATATAAAAATATATGTCTGTGTTGTACTCCCCTAGATCATTGTCATCATACTAACTATATAAAAATATATGTCTGTGTTGTACTCCCCTAGATCATTGTCATCATACTAACTATATAAAAATATATGTCTGTGTTGTACTCCCCTAGATCATTGTCATCATACTAACTATATAAAAATATATGTCTGTGTTGTACTCCCCTAGATCATTGTCATCATACTAACTATATAAAAATATATGTCTGTGTTGTACTCCCCTAGATCATTGTCATCATACTAACTATATAAAAATATATGTCTGTGTTGTACTCCCCTAGATCATTGTCATCATACTAACTATATAAAAATATATGTCTGTGTTGTACTCCCCTAGATCATTGTCATCATACTAACTATATAAAAATATATGTCTGTGTTGTACTCCCCTAGATCATTGTCATCATACTAACTATATAAAAATATATGTCTGTGTTGTACTCCCCTAGATCATTGTCATCATACTAACTATATAAAAATATATGTCTGTGTTGTACTCCCCTAGATCATTGTCATCATACTAACTATATAAAAATATATGTCTGTGTTGTACTCCCCTAGATCATTGTCATCATACTAACTATATAAAAATATATGTCTGTGTTGTACTCCCCTAGATCATTGTCATCATACTAACTATATAAAAATATATGTCTGTGTTGTACTCCCCTAGATCATTGTCATCATACTAACTATATAAAAATATATGTCTGTGTTGTACTCCCCTAGATCATTGTCATCATACTAACTATATAAAAATATATGTCTGTGTTGTACTCCCTTAGATCATTGGCATCATACTAACTACTGTAGAATCGTTTATTTTCGTGGGGTTAAAATTTCGTTGTTTTCATATACTAGCCTGTTTCAAAGACATTATATTTCGCTGATTTCTGATTTTCCCCCATCTATATCATACCAAATTTATGTTTTCATGGGGAATTTTTCGTTGATTCTTGTTATCCACGAAATACATGAAATTTAATGTCCCACGAACATTTATGATTTTACAGTATATAGAAATATATGCATATGTCTATAGATATATGCTTTAATGTTATGGTACTCCTGTCAAAATATGTCTTGTGTTGTACATGTACATAGCTGTCTTAGATCATTGACACCATACTAGTTATACAGAAAAATAAATGCCATATTAATACTTTGGATTTTTTTTTAAGCAAGAATTGGCATTAGAGATAGATGCATTAGGGATGTTCAGGGTACACTATTTGGGAGCTATACACTTTGTATTATACGACAGCAATATAAGTTTTGCCTTGTGAGATACAAGTACAACACAGCAGGGTTAAGTAGGATTGAAATGTGTATGTACATTTTACATTGTGTCAGGAGAAGGGAGCAGGTTGGAAAGGGAATTACAGATCATCACACTGTATTTTCAAGGTTTGACGTGAGAACCATTTTTCACTGCGAGCATGTGGATAAATCGACAGGCTACTGCAGGTGGACTCGAGATTTTATCTACGTGCGAGCCATGAGAAAATTGTTCGAACGACAAACTCTGAAAATACTGTATGATAAACTTTTTATCATCTATATACTACTACCTTATATATTTCTTCATTTAAAAAACTCAACTAAACACCATGTTTTCCAAATGACTTCTAAGCTCAATGGTCAACGATTGCCTGTGACAAACGTAAACAAATAGAAATTTTGCGCAGAGGAATACAATGAACCTTAAACTATGCAGAAAAAACTATTTTTAAAACAATTCCATCGTCATTGGCTTTTCCATATGAACATTTACACGGTTACACCTGAAATTATGTTGTTATTCTCACCATGTTTTTCTGTAACTTTGTATTGATATGTTTATGACGGACTATTTTCTGACGCGGATCACTTTTGTGTGAACACTATTTCCGGTTTCGGACGTCATCTGGCGCGAGCAGACGTTCTTTTTTTGAGAAAATACATTACCAAGTGCTGGGGAATGGGAACATCGGTTCTCAAGTTGTTCTCAACTTCTTCTCATACTGACAACCAATGGTAATGAATTTATCATGCTACCGGTATAAAGTAGTATATATATGATAAAGATGAATCTCATGCTTTGAATTACACTCAGTCTGCCACAATCCACAAAGTGTTTTTAAGGAGGAATGGGTGTTGATGGACATATGTTGCAATGTTATTCTCATTCTAACAGTAATGATATTAGCCTTTTTTTGTAACAGTGTACAGGTATTTCTGATTCTAACTCACCCCCAGATCAAAGATCTTTGCCTTTTTGTAAAGTGTACGGGTATTCCTGATTCTAACTCGCCCCCAGATCAAAGATCTTTGCCTTTTTGTAAAGTGTACAGGTATTCCTGATTCTAACTCACCCCCAGATCAAAGATTTTTGCCTTTTTGTAAAGTGTACAGGTATTTCTGATTCTAACTCACCCCCAGATCAAAGATCTTTGCCTTTTTGTAAAGTGTACAGGTAAATCACCCCCAGATTAAAGATCTTTGCCTTTTTGTAAAGTGTACAGGTATTTCTGATTCTAACTCACCCCCAGATCAAAGATCTTTGCCTTTTTGTAAAGTGTACAGGTAACTCACCCCCAGATCAAAGATCTTTGCCTTTTTGTAAGGAGTACTGGTGCTGACATCCTCTTTCTCATCCTCCTCTACTGGCCTGGTCTTCTTGAACCTGAAGCTTTCCCCGAGCTGTAGACATCGCCGTGGCACGCTCTCGGCTGAAGTCAAACTCTTGTCTGGTCTGTGTAAAAATTAGTAGGTGATCATATACATAGGAATCATATTCCTTTAACATCCATAGGTCAGATCTGACAAGACGAAAAATTCTGTTAAATGGATGAAGATTATTGAACAAATCTATAAAGTACACTTATATACAATTGCTGAACTTTTTGACCTAGTCAACAGCTTGCATCGTTTGGGATATTGTAGTTTAGCGAAAGACAAATTAGGGATGTTCAGGGTATACTGTATCGGAGATAGGTTCATAAATTTTGTAATGTAGGACAGGAATATAATTAATTTAAACACATTTTACTGCAATTTGCAATGGGAATAGGCACAAGTGTACATACGTTTTGTATTGTTCAGGAGAATAGAGCAGGGCGGGGACGAATTGTACATACGTTTTGTATTGTTGGGGAGAATGGAGCAGGGCGGGGTACGTTAGGTAAGTGTACCTACGTTTTGTATTGTTAGGGAGAATTGAGCAGGGCTGGGTATGGTGGGTAAGTGTACCTACGTTTTGTATTGTTGGGGAGAATGGAGCAGGGCGGGGACGAATTGTACATACGTTTTGTATTGTTGGGGGGAATGGAGCAGGGCGGTGACGAATTGTACATACGTTTTGTATTGTTGGGGAGAATGGAGCAGGGCGGGGACGAATTGTCCATACGTTTTGTATTGTTGGGGAGAATGGAGCAGGGCGGGGTACGTTAGGTAAGTGTACCTACGTTTTGTATTGTTAGGGAGAATTGAGCAGGACTGGGTATGGTGGGTAAGTGTACCTATATTTTGTATTGTTAGGGAGAATGGAGCAGGGCTGGGTACGTTGGGTAAGTGTACCTACGTTTTGTATTGTTAGGGAGAATGGAGCAGGGCTGGGGACGTTGGGTAAGTGTACCTACGTTTTGTATTGTGAGGGAGAATTGAGCAGGGCTGGGTATGGTGGGTAAGTGTACCTACGTTCCGTATTGTTAGGGAGAATTGAGCAGGACTGGGTATGGTGGGTAAGTGTACCTATGTTTTGTATTGTTAGGGAGAATGGAGCAGGGCTGGGTATGGTGGGTAAGTGTACCTATGTTTTGTATTGTTTGGGAGAATGGAGCAGGGCTGGGTACGGTGGGTAGGTGTACCTACGTTTTGTATTGTTCGGGAGAATGGAGCAGGGCTGGGTATGGTGGGGAAGTGTACCTACGTTCCGTATTGTTAGGGAGAATTGAGCAGGGCTGGGTACGGTGGGTAAGTGTACCTACGTTTTGTATTGTTAGGGGGAATTGAGCAGGGCTGGGTATGGTGGGTAAGTGTACCTATGTTTTGTATTGTTTGGGAGAATGGAGCAGGGCTGGGTACGGTGGGTAGGTGTACCTACGTTTTGTATTGTTCGGGAGAATGGAGCAGGGCTGGGTATGGTGGGTTAAGTGTACCTATGTTTTGTATTGTTAGGGAGAATGGAGCAGGGCTGGGTATGGTGTGTAAGTGTACCTATGTTTTGTATTGTTCGGGAGAATGGAGCAGGGCTGGGTTTGGTGGGTTAAGTGTACCTATGTTTTGTATTGTTCGGGAGAATGGAGCAGGGCTGGGTATGGTGGGTAAGGGTACCTACGTTTTGTATTGTTCGGGAGAATTGAGCAGGGCTGGGACGAAGTGTACCTACGTTTTGTATTGTTCGGGAGAATTGAGCAGGACTGGGTATGGTGGGTAAGTGTACATACGTTTTGTATTGTTCGGGAGAATAGAGCAGGACTGGGTATGGTGGGTAAGTGTACCTACGTTTTGTATTGTTCAGGAGAATTGAGCAGGGCTAGGTACGGTGGGTAAGTGTACCTATGTTTTGTATTGTTCGGGAGAATGGAGCAGGACTGGGTATGGTGGGTAAGTGTACCTACGTTTGGTATTGTTCGGGAGAATTGAGCAGGGCTGGGTATGGTGGGTAAGTGTACCTACGTTTTGTATTGTTAGGGAGAATTGAGCAGGGCTGGGTACGGTGGGTAAGTGTACCTACGTTTTGTATTGTTCGGGAGAATGGAGCAGGACTGGGTACGGTGGGTAAGTGTACCTACGTTTTGTATTGTTCGGGAGAATTGAGCAGGACTGGGTATGGTGGGTAAGTGTACATACGTTTTGTATTGTTCGGGAGAATTGAGCAGGGCTGGGTATGGTTGGTAAGTGTACATACGTTTTGTAATGTTCGGGAGAATAGAGCAGGGCTGGGACGAAGTGTATCTACGTTTTGTATTGTTCGGGAGAATGGAGCAGGGCTGGGTACGGTGGGTAAGTGTACCTACGTTTTGTATTGTTCGGGAGAATTGAGCAGGGCTGGGTACGGTGGGTAAGTGTTCTCCTCGCAGTGCCCCTCCAGGGACAAGAAGCGTGTGATACTGATACTCTGTGCTGTCTTGGTGTTGATGATACTCTGATCAAAGTTGTATCTCTTCAGGTGTAGTACAAGTACCCTGAAACAGCATTGTTGTCTTCATCATTTGTACATTAAAAGATGTCGCACAGAACAATTTATGTACCAAACATTACTTTCTGTATTGACAGATTTTCAAAAAGCACAAGTGCAGTTTACATAAGATATCATAATTTTTCTTCTCGATAATTGATTTTTTTCTTAGCAATCTACCTGTATTATCCACGAGACAAAATTTTAAGTCCCTCTGTAGAGTTGATAACACAATTCAAGATTCTACTACATACTGTATACAAGGAAATTATTGCATTTTTCACCCTCCGTAATAACAGCAAATTTATCATCACAGTGAACACTAGTAAACACCATAATATACATAGTAATTAAATGTGAAGGGCGAAATTTAAACTTGGCGAATCTGGATTTTACCAGCAAAGAACAAAGTTTGATTAGGCAAAAATGTCCTCGTATACAGTAACACTCTTGGTTGCAGAGACAAGAATTCCACAGGAGTGGAAGTGTCACCTGCTCAGCGCTTTCAGTGAGAAAAGTGTTTTGGCTCGAGTTATCGTCTAAACAAGCAAAAATTAACGCCGACAAAGTAATACCTAGATGTCGCCTCGCGTCGCAGGCGACACAAAAATGAGATTATAAGTACAGCAAATATTGATAACACACAATTCAAATGTACCAGCAAACAGACAAAATTTGTATCAATGATACAGTATGTAAAAGCAAAACTGCCAAAAGGTACTTGGCTCTTGGGCCTAGTGAGCTAAAAAGTAAACTACAGCCTACCTTGGCAGCCTACTAAATTTGTGACTGACTTCCGACTTGTTACTCCCACATTTTTCACAGGTGTACTCAATAGCCTCCGATCGGAAGAATAAATCCAGTGCATTCTGAATGGAAGACGGATCACCATTTTTCCTGAAAATTGCGTAAATGTCAAAAAAGGTATCAATCTACATGGCAATACTTATTTTGGAGTTGTTATATCTCGGAGAAAAATCTATTCCTTTTGAAATCACTCCTTTTGTGAAATTCTAGTGGTACTGGTAGTACTAACTAGTATTTTTGTTAGGGATGGTATGCTTTGGTGTAATGACTTCGGTCAGATGAAAGCTTGTGTAATTGTGAACTACTTTGGGTATAACTTTAGTTATAATTGTACCCATACAATCAGTAAATTACAAATATCATCTCAATTCCAGTGTCTGTAGGTGCAGCAGGGTAGACTCCTGGCATCTGGGCAACTTCTGTCAGATTATTAACAAAGTCTTAAATATATACAGCTATTTTTATCCTTGGTAATCCTTTGTAAATCAATACATGTCTGTTTGGTCAATTGGTGCTGTAGATGTGTACGTAAAATAACTAAAGAGAAGTAGGAGAGGTTACTCAGGAGGTCAGCATAATTCTTTACCAAAGGACAACATTAAAGTACGTATAATTCTACATTATCAACAAAGTTGGTACTTTGACCTACCTTCGCCTCGGCATATCCACCGACAAGTCATTGAACTGCTCTGCCTTGGTGACCACCTCCCTACAACTACAAAACAAAACATTCTCTTGTCTCAGGGCTTCAGTTTAATACACATGGGGGTATATAACCTCCTAAAACGGCGTCTGACCTTCAAAATGTTAAGCATTCTTGATACTCCAGGGGTTACATCCTCTCCACCCCTGGAGTTTGAAGGCACATCTAAGGCTAGATATTTGATTGGCATCGGGTATGCTGATACCCATCCTCGATATCCAGGGGTTACGCTCACTTTCGCTCTCTGCACCCCTGGAATATGTCATGACAAAATCGAAGGCTCAGTAAGCGCCATCTTGTTAATGAGACAAGAAGACTAATTCAACCCCTTGATATACATCATATACATCAAAAGAATCTCGTTGTCATGTAACGGTAAAAATTGACAGACTTTGAAGTCGGGCATCTCTCCTTTGTGATCTTCAAAGAACATGTATCAGCCTAGCGATTGGTCATTTTTTTTTTTTACCGGAGACCAATCAAACAGCTATCTTTGTGCCTTCAATTTTGCTATGACATATCCAGGGGTGCAGAGAGCGAAAGTAAGCGTAACACCTGGATATCTAGGATGGTTGATACCTGTCCTTTGGAGACTACAAAGGAGCAATATCCGACCTCTAAGTCAGACAGTTTTACCGTAACGCTACCACGAGATTATTTTGATATAAATCAAAGGATCAGCCTAGTCCTTTGGTCCCATACCTAAGGTGGCACACACTGCGCTTTGATTTTGTCATGACATATTCCAGGGGTGCAAAGGTAAATGAGAGCATAAACCCTTGAGTATCGAAGATGAATGGATCAGAAAAACTGTTATCTCATGGTACATATAAATAACAAGGACCCAATATACTGATAACCTTTTTGTGAATGCAAAATGGTATAGGACAACTTTCAAAGTGGGTACAAGCTCAATTTGTTTAAACTTGATGATAAGCATACTTGCCAACTCTCCCAGTTTTGGAGGGAGACACGGTTTTGGACCCTTAAATTTTATATTTCCAATCAGTGAATTTGCTGAACTCCTATATTCTAACATCTAATGATTTCATCTGAAAGAATTCAAAATGTGTCATATTGAAGGTTTATTATATCCTTATGGAGTAAATACAAACATTTTATTTATGTTTTCAATTTTGAACATGCAGAATTTCCCCCCATGGAAATTTCAAAAGCCAATGTCATTTACTCAATCAAACTTGACAGCCTATAATTCTAGCAGGTAACAATCCAAATATCACAACTATAGACCGTAATCCTATTGATGAAGTTGTTTCAAAGTTATTTGACCACTATGACTTAGAAAGGTTGCTTTACTTGAGACAGGTGATGGAGTGAAGGACCTCCATCTCAAAGTTCTGTACAGTTGGGTTGGTGTACTGAGTGTCGCCGTCAGATCCCTCCCTGTGGGGGCTGGGTGTCGAGCTAGAAACCTTGGTCACTTCCTCCTTAAGCTGGTCCAACACCTGTCCAAGGAACTCGTGTGCATCCTGCAAAATAATTTTTACCCGATTAGAGATTTCATTTTTTTTTTTTGTGGAATAAAAGACTTTCATGCCCAGGGGTGTAGGATAGGGAAATTCCACTGAGGGATTTTCAAATTTGGTAAAACCTGAAATGTGAGAAAAAAAAATGTTTTCCTCCTCTGTGCATAAGTCTTCTACGAGACTCAAACTCTTTCTCCCACACTTCACAGGTGCATTCTGATATTTTTCAGGGAAAAGATAAATCTGCCTCTACCTTCCTAGGCAGACAGCTCAACAGCGCCTTTGTTCTGAAGATGTTATTACTTCACAGAACGGTCATCCTCACTTTATGCAGCACAACCATATCGCTGTAGGATCACCTCAATTTTGTCAAACATTTTATACACAATTGATGATGGCTTGATGTATAGGGTTCACTTATCATCACAACTTAAAGAATACTTTTTACAGTAGCAAAGCTTTCCAGGGGTTACGCTCACGTTCGCTCTCTACACCCCTGGAATATGTCATGGCAAAATTGAAGGCTCGATGTGCACTACCTTGTTGATGAGACAAGAAGACTAGTTCGATCCTTTGATGTACATCAAAAGAATCTTGCGGTCACGTAACAGTAAAAATTGACAGGCTTTGAAGTCGGGCATTTCTCCTTTGTAATCTTCAAAGGACGGGTATCAGCCTAGCGATTGGTCAGTTTTTTTTTTACCCCAGATGAATCAAACAGATATCTTCGTGCCTTTAATTTTGCCATGACAAATTCCAGGGGTGTAAATAGCGAAAGTAAGCGTAACCCATGGATATCGAGGATGTGTGTGATGAAGAAGTAATAATCTCAACCCTCAGCGTAAGATTTTTCAAATTCAGAAAAGCCACATGCTAACCTCAAATTCTAACCCCCTCCTCGTGTTAAAAGACAGATTTGATTACTTTCATATAGGTGCACCTGATGACCTAAAGTTTGAAAAGTGCATTAAAAAATATATATTTGAGTACATTTTAAGCTCATGACCTGATCATTTAATCGTGATAGGTGACATCAACAATTTTTTTATTTTAATCAGCAGATCTTTTCTATGTTATACTTCTATATCCCCAACAACTACAATGTAATATGTGACATCAACAATTTGTCATTTTAATCAGCAGATCTTTTCTATGTTATACTTCTATATCCCCAACAACTACAATCTTACACACGGGCAAATGTTAACTGCACAAAATATATTGATTTTTTTTTTATCATTTTTCCCCCCCAACAGTTTTTCATAATATAGATACAGAACAGGTATTTTCATTTTCACACTCTCTAACACACATTGAGAAGTGACTTACATGCTGTTGGTAGCCTGAAAACCTCTTGGCTGTTGTAGATATCGCGGACTTCACGTTCCGCAGCATGTCCCGTCTTACATGTTCAGGCAGAGTTTTACTTCGAGATCGAAGCAATTTATACAGTGCACTGCAGTGAATCAAAATATAATATCAGATACTTCATGAATAAAATACAAGCTAATCATTGGCCAATGAATCTGTCATGGAACTAGTACATAGTCATTTCATTTTTTTATAATCTCAAATAGACAATCTAGCAAACTCTGACGGCTATTGCTACAGAGAAAATACACCTCAATATTGACCTGTTTATAAGAGACCCATTGGGCTTTGATCGCTCAAATGTCATTCAATGCTGTTTTGCAAATACATCTAACAGCAGTGATCTTCAACGTGTCAAAGGTCAAATTTACTTAATATATATATATATAAACTTTATTTATAAATATTTACAAATATGGAACCAGTTTTTACAACTTGTACCAATCACTCTTGTCAGCCCGGATGTTTGCGCGTGGGGGGTCTTACTGTGGGAGGAAAGGAGCACCCGGAGAAAGGCAAGTGCGTTATCCACTGCGCCACCCGACCACCGATATTACTTAATATCCTTCCTTACTCCACTGTTATACAGTCCACATACCTGTACAGAGACTGGGAATGAAGTGTCTTCATCACTCGAGTGTTAGAGAAGAGTAAATCATTGGAGAAGGTGTCCAGGCAGAACAGTGACTGCAGAATGGCGTTCATGTAGCACGTGTTCCCAAGGTTGGAAAAACTGTAACAGAAGACATACTCAAAAGATTACCACTTTGCTTACTGGTATACGAAGTTCAATTGAAATCTATGCAATCCTTTAGAAGTTGTCAGGACAAACTTGTGTCTGCAGAAAAACTGTCGGACACCCTGATTCAGTATATATCCTTTCTAACTATCTAGGGTATAATATTAAAGGGTATAAATTAATTACCCTTGTACAATTTTGTGTTGTGTCTGTAACAGATGGAAAGAATGAAATGGAATTATCTCGAGTCTGAAAATGTGCAGTAAATTATTGCTATACCAATATGAAAATAGGTTTGAATAACTCATGTAAACTAGAACTGGAACCTGCAGACTAACAACCCTGCACCTACTTCAAAACTAAATTTTGTCGATATACAGACTTTCTGATATCAGTCATTATTACAAAATGGATTAATTACCCGGGTTAAATTTTAGGTCATGTCTGTACCCGACTAAAAATAAAATAATTGTATTGTATTATAGTTGTACACTTTTGGCATGTATTTATGACTGAAAGAACACTTAGAGATTAGTTACCCTTGTAGACTTTTGGGTTGGGTAGGTAGTTGATTACTCCCTGGGGTGGTGGTGGTGGTGATATTAGATTTATTCCAGGTGTAGTTTATGGAGTCCGACAGTCGAGGCCGTTTTGGTGGTGTCGGGTCAGGCATCATACCAGGTGTTCTCTTCAGATTACTGTCACAAACCAGACATAAGTTATATATAAATATAATCTTTATTTAGTTAACAACAATTATGAAACAAGTTATTTCAATTTATATTTAATCACTCTTGTTGGCTCGGATGTTAGCGAGTGGGGGGGGGGGGGGGGGGTGTCTTAGTGTGGGAGGAAACCGGAGTACCCGGAGAAAACGTATGTGGTCAGGCAGGTGACCCCATTCCTTTTCACGCCCGATTGGGGAATCAAAACCTGGCCGCCTTGGTGAAAGGCAAGTGCGCTATCCACTGCACCAACAGACAACCCGACCAGACTAAGTTAGATAGTACTGGAGAAAGAAAAGTACTACCATATACAAGTATGATTTCTCCCCGTTTGGTGCACTCCAATTTTAATGTATCATCAAATTTTAACAAATTACCACATCAATACAATGGTGCATCCACACTTTAACAAGCCATTCGGATTATTTCAATGTTAGATAATCGTTTTATTTGCTTTCACTGCAGACAACACTGCATAAGCTGGCATTTTCCAATGCAAACAAAAACATAGACATACATACAAACTCATTATGGTGGCATTGTGAAAATATATTAAGTGTTATCAATATCACAATTTCCAACCTTCCAAATTGTGTGGAAATTTTTCCAAAATCAAAAGGCACATTTATCACTGAAATTTGGATGTAAAGAGCCATGCATTGACACTTCAATGTCAGACAGCTTTAATTATAGGCAGTGTGAACGCCTACCTTGACAATGAGTAAGCCCCATAACTACGCGGGGTAGCAGAAGAACTACTGTAGAAGCCGGAAGTCTCAATCTGCTGGAGGTGGTTTCTGGCTTTTTCCATCCCATTCTGTAAGTATTTCTGGCTCTTATCCTTAGACACCTGACCTCTGCAAAGGGAGACAATTCAACATCATATCTAGAGTAGAGAGTAAACCTTTTTTCAGAGCTTATGCTTGTAGTTGGAATGCGAGAAAAATACTCTTTCATACACCCCTGAGCATGAAAGAGTCTTATAATATAATGCTTCTTGTTGACTGCTATCATATTTCGATGCGTCATTCTTATTTCTTTCTTACGAAGGATATCATTTATAAACATATCAATATATTGCCATTTGAATCCTCTTTAAAATGTCAAACTTTTGCGACATTTTTTTGCATTATTAAATTATCATTTTAATTTTTATTTCTCAAAGTCAACATTATAGAAGAAGTTGTCCAAATATCACAAGAACGGGATCCACAATTAGGCCAAATAAAATTAATTACTTGGTTTTCAGGCCAATTTTTTTCAAAATAGATGCGGCAGGGCGGTATTTTTTTCCCCATTTTACATGGCAAAAACGAGACGAGGGCAATTTTTTTTTTATTGTGTAGTTTGTAAAACGTTCATTGTGGACATTACCTTGTCTTTTTATAGTTGTGTAGAGACCCGTCACAGAGCAAGCCTCCGAAAATCCCCCCACTATGTTCCAGACGAGAATCAAGAACCCCCCCCATTCTTATTTGTACTGAAATGAGCGCCATTTGTACACAAGACTAATAAGTCATAATCATTTTAACACTTGCCTGTATCTCAATCCTTACCTTTATTCAAACGTTTTCGGGACTTCGGTGACTAATAAGTAAAAACGACATGCGGACCAATTTCTGGATTTTTTTAAAGATGGTGGCTGGCGCATTCACCTTTTTTATTACTTTCACGATAAAATCGGCAATGCGCACGGTGCCATGAAATGCGCGCGGGCCTGAGAACCAAGTAATCAACATTTTTTGGCCTTATTGAGCGACTCTACTGTATCGAGAAATGTTTACTGTCTACTTTTTATATCAGGTCGATGTCAGTGTGATCCTAATGTGTGTGAAAATACAATCTGGTGTATCGCTACTTCCTCCTATTGATTAAATCAATTAGCATTCAATAATTTTTAGTTTATTGAATATCTTTGCAATTTAACTATTTTTTGGTTAATTCAGTTAAACATTTAAACAGATGATCATGACATAAATCCAACATTCTTATCCTATTTCAAACATTGAAAGATTATTTGATACATGGTAAATAAATGCAATCCTACCTGTTTTGATTTTCTTTGAATTCGTTCTCATCATCAGTATCCTCAAACAGTGATACCTCTTCTGACTTTTTCTTCACACTGAAATCAAAACAAGGTCTACTAAAACTTATCATGTTAATTCACAAGTATAAACTAAAACAAGGTCTACTTAAACTTATCATGTTAATTCACAAGTATAAACTAAAACAAGGTCTACTTAAACTTATCATGTTAATTCACTTGTGTAAACAAGGTCTACTGAAACTTATCATGTTAATTCACTTGTGTAAACAAGGTCTACTTAAACTTATCATGTTAATTCACTTGTGTAAGCATGGTCTACTAAAACTTATCATGTAAATTCACTTGTGTAAACAAGGTCTACTTAAACTTATCATGTTCATTTACTTGTGTAAACAAGGTCTACTTAAACTTACTTACTTGTGTAAGCAAGGTCTACTGAAACTTATCATGTTAATTTACTTGTGTAAATAAGGTCTACTTAAACTTACCATGTTAATTCACTTGTGTAAGCATGGTCTACTAAAACTTATCATGTTCATTTACTTGTGTAAATAAGGTCTACTTAAACTTACCATGTTAATTCACTTGTGTAAGCATGGTCTACTAAAACTTATCATGTTCATTTACTTGTGTAAATAAGGTCTACTTAAACTTACCATGTTAATTCACTTGTGTAAGCATGGTCTACTAAAACTTATCATGTTCATTTACTTGTGTAAAGAAGGTCTACTTAAACTTATCATGTTAATTCACAAGTATAAACTAAAACAAGGTCTACTGAAACTTATCATGTTAATTCACCTGTGTAAATAAGGTCTATTTAAACTTACTTACTTGTGTAAATAAAGTCTACTTAAACTTATCATGTTAATTCACTTGTGTAAAGAAGGTCTACTTAAACTTATCATGTTAATTCACTTGTGTAAAGAAGGTCTACTTAAACTTATCATGTTAATTCACTTGTGTAAACAAAGTCTACTTAAACTTATCATGTTAATT